TCTTCACAGAAACTGATATATGAAGTTACAGTCTCTGTGAGCTCGTCCAGATCGGTGGCAGCAGCTTCAAAGACGCTCCAATCAGTGAGGTCAAAACAAGCTTGTAAATCCTGCTCTGCTTCATTAGTCCATCTTTTTACAGTCCTTAATACAGGTTTAGCTGATTTCAGTTTCTGCCTGTAGGTCGGTATTAGATGAACTAAACAGTGATCAGAGAGCCCCAAAGCTGCCTGTGGGATGGAGCGATATGCATCCTTTATTGTGGTGTAACAGTGATCCAATATATTACCGTCTCTGACTCTCTGGTGGGACATGTAACATGCTGTCTGTATTTTGGCAGTTCACGGGAAAGATTTGCTTTATTAAAGTCCCCAAGAATGATTATAACAGAGTCTGGGTGTTGTTGTTCTGTGTCTGTGATCTGATCAGGCAGTTTCTGTAAAGCTGAGCTCACGTGCGCTTGCGGAGGAAAGTAAACACTCACGAGAATGAACGAGCAAAACTCCCGCAGAGAATAGAATGGCTTGCAGTTAACGAAGAGCGCTTTTAGATCGGGACAACACATCTTCTGTAACGCTGTAACATCTGTACACCACCTTTCGTTGATGTAAAAACATGTCCCGCCGCCACGCGATTTCCCCGTTGATTCTGCGTCACGATCTGCTCTAAACAGCTGAAATGTCCGGAATGGCGTCATTCAGCCAGGTTTCCATGAAACACAGAGCAGCAGAGTTTGGAAAATCCTTTGTTTGTCCTGGAGAGCAGAAGTTCGTCCATTTTGTTGGGTAGAGAGCGGAGATTCGCCAGATGGATGCCAATGTATTTGGATATAGTGTAGACACATTTCTTGTAACACTGATGATTAGATAGTGACAAATTATAGATTACCTTTTGATTTTTAAAGAATGTATTAGTAAATGTTGACATTAACATGAAGTAAGATTATTAAATGCAATGTATTAGTGTACAATATTTTTTAAGTTCAGGTTCATGCAACTATGTAGTTAACTAATATTGACAAATGGATCCTTCTTGTGAAGTGTTACCAAAAAAGTGAAATCATTTCATCATGTTAAACCTTTGTTTTAATTAGTTTAATCCTAAAACTTCTTTCTGTTTATGAAAATCACAGATTTGCAATGTGGACCCCATATTGGGGGTGAGTACATTTTCAGCAAATGTCCATTTTTGGCTAAACTATTCCTTTAAAACAAGAACAAATATCTGTCAGTGAGGTAAGCAAATAATAATCTTAATTCAAAATAATAAAGTTTATTAATATCTTTAAACAAGGTATTTTTGTTGTTGTTGTTGTTGTTGTTGTTTTAAGCTTAAACTCACTTAATTGTAATACATTTTTCAAAAACAAGCTTCAAAATCTTAGATTGTTTAGATATTTGTACCGGAAAAAAGACATTCATTGGTTGACATTAATGCAATAATTATTTCAAATTATGAGACCACCAGAATATGTCACTTTGAAAGAGCAGAATTCTGACATTTTTGAAATGTATGATTCATGTACAATATTTTTGTGCTTACTAGTTGAAGGATTTCCCGCAAACACTCTTTCACTTAGCCTCTGAAACTAGGTCTGAAGTATATAGAACACAGACTTTGTCATTGATGGTTTTCCTCTAAGCAAAATATCCACTTCAAATGCAACCAGAAACATTTATAATGCATGTGCATTCATTAGAGCTGAACATTTCAGGCAGCATGAATCAGACAAATTTTATACAAAGCACCAAAGAGTTGCTAAAAGTTTCATGTGTTAAGATCAATAACAAAGGTTCTCAGGCTTCATCAGGACAGATGAATTCACTCCACATTATTTGTAAACAACTGCAGCGGAGGGGCTCAAATAAGTGGTATGTAGAACAGATCCCTAGACGCACACCAAGGACGCTACAAAGTAAAACTACGGCACAGTGCGGAACAGATGGGAGAGTAAAAATATCTGCCCTCCTATAGACACCATGTCAGCACAAACCTGCCTTCAGGCTCAGCGTTCACACGATGAACCAGAATGAGTTACTATAAAATGCCATACACATTCTCTGCAGTGAATGGGTGCCGTCAGAATGAGAGTCCAAACATCACAGTAATCCACAAGTAATCCACACCACTCCAGTCAGTCAATTAATGTCTTGAGAAGTAAAAAACTGCATATTGGTAAGAAACAAATTCATCATTAAGGCAATTTAACTTTAAATGTTGTTTCAGGCCAAAATATGTGTTCATAATCCATAATAACGTTTCCTCCAGTGATAAAGTCCATCTCCTGTGGTCCTCTCACATTAAAATCCATACATATTTATTTAGATCTGTTTTGGACTGTTTTTGCTCATAAACGGTGCATATTTCTTTTCTAATTCAGAGGAGATGACTTTTCACTGGAGAAGTGAAAACAGTTTTTCACTTCACAAGCACTTAATTGATGGACTGGTGTGGATTATTGTGATGTTTTTATCAGCTGTTTGGACTCTCATTCTGACGGCACCCATTCACTGCTGAGGATCCATTGATGAGCAAGTGATGGAATGCTACATTTCTCCAAATCTGTTCTGATGAAGAGACAACTCATCTACATCTTGGATGGCCAGAGGGGGAGTTATGTGTTTTAATGTCACATTTCATAGTGTTTAATATAGTACAATAGTACAATAAATATACAGTCTCACAATGACTGAAACATTGGCACAGCATTTTAAAATAAATTAACAAATAAAAAGAAAAGAAAATCAAAGTGTATGTTGACTTTTAAGTTTTTTTTAAATTAGTAATTCATTTATTTGAATTTTTAGAACTTTGAAATTAGCATATTCATTCAGCAAAACTTGCACAGAATAATTTATTCATAGTTTTATAACCCTGTTCTCATTATTGAGCAAATTACTTAATTCTCGTTTTAATACAATTTTTAATTGAATCACAGTTCATCTTCAGCAACAACATTATGACTCAACAGTGCCTTCTTGTTTTCTCACAATACTAGCATGGAAATCTGCCAGAAAAGGTAAAAGCGCTACACCTGTACAACCTGTTTAGCAGTGCTAACAGATGGGAAGCGCTTACGGCCGAGACAGGAACATTTCTGGTGCCTCTGGGGGAACGCGGTGAACGGCGCACCTTCAGACCTGTGTGACAAGTTACAAAAAACTCTGGAAACCTGTTCAAACCTGCTTTTCCATGCACAGAATCCTGAATATGCTGGCAGCGGATGCCTACAGTGAGTTGAGGCTGCTATGGAGGCTTGAACGCAGTATTGTTTGCTCAATATAGTCCAGATCTCTGGGGGGAGCATCAGAACGCCGGAGTTCTTCACATTCACTCAAAAATGTGCGGCAAAATTGGGTCACGCTGGGAGCGGCTTCCTATTTCTGTGACATTAACCATTGTGTATGGAAGCTGTGCATCATGCTGTGTTTGACTGCTCCCCTGACCTGGATAATCACTGTATGAGGCATATTTCTCTTCTATATTTTAAATAATTGATCATTTTATAAACTTGATTTAATAGAGCGGAGCATTGGGCTTGATTAGTGAATGTTTTGGGCTTCTCAGTTACTAAAGTTTGCAGAAGTCATGCACAGAAATGGAAATTCTGTCACTTTTTGTTAAATAATGTAAGGAGAGATATATTAGCTTGCGATCTGAGGCACAGCATTACTCATTTATTCTTCATGAGAAGTTTATTTTGTAACACAGAAGCCCTGATGGAATATGGAGTATTATCCTGAAGCTACATTTACTTTTCATCAGTCTAACTTCATTAGATTTATTTTTTATTTCAAACACATTCTCACCTATAACTTTTGACGGCTATATATGAAAATATAGGCCATGTCTCTGTGCACGCTGCTTTCTGCAGAGAGAAATATAATGAATTTGGCATTTTGACAGACAGTATTTCTGTTCACTCATGAAATGTTGTAGGCTGAAGTGTGTACGGCGGATCTCGGTTATTCTCCTTCCATGCTGATGTATTTAATAACCCATGAGCATGTAGCAGATGAAATGAGACACATCGCCGCAGAGGTATTTATTAGATACTCAGCATGAAACTCATTCAACATGCACTTGTTCGTGGCCCCCAAAATGTTTAGATGAGTATTAATCATTGACAATAAAATAAAATATATAAAAAATACAAACTGCAAAATGATCGTGAATCAGCAGCAGGTAGAGTTGCTCTTTGACTGCTGCTTCAGGTTGATCTGCATGTTCTGCTCTTCTTCTTTCACTGATTCCTCATTGTTTTGGAGAATGTGCTTCACAAGGAATTTAGCAGCTTCATCCACATTGATATTCTCCTTAAATGCAAACAAAACCACAAAACTCCATTGAAGTAATGAAACAGAAGTGGAATAGTAGACGTGACATTACTATACACTTATAATACTATAGGCAATATTATAGATAGTAGCTAAAACATACAATTTCTTATAAAACTATAAACAATATTTTCATAAAAAACATAATATATATATTGATATCCAGGAATTCAGTCTTCAGTGGCACATGATCATAATTGTGTTCAATAATTTTTCTTATTGCCATCAATGTTGAAAACTGTTTTTGCTGCTTAATGTTTTTGTCAAAATTGTGATACATTACTGTTATGATTTTTTTTTCAAAGAAATTATTACTTTTATTCTGCAGTAGATCATTAAATTGATCAAAAGTGACAGTAAAGACATTTATAATGTAACAAGAGATTTCTATTTAAAACTTTTTTTACAATTTTGTATTCATCAAAGAATCTTGGGGAAAAAACGTATCCGTTTCCACAAAAAGTGAAGCAGCACAACTGTTTTCAACATTGATAATAATCAGACATTTTTCTTGAGCAGCAAACCAGCATATTAGAATGATTTCTGAAGGATCATGTGCCACTGAAGATTGGAGTAATGATGCTGAAAATTCAGCTTTGCATCACAGAATAAACTGCATTTTAAAATACATTCAAATCGAAACCAGTTCTTTTAAACTGTAATAATATTTCACAATATTACTATTTTTACTGTATTTTTGATCAAATAAATGCAGCCTTGGTGAGCTGAATAGACTTCCTTCAGAAACATTAAAACATGTTTAATGTTTACATAAGTTAAAACAAACAAACAAACAAAAAACTAATTAAGTTTATATTAAATATGTTATTAATACAAAAACATAGAGGCAGGGCACTGGTTGGGTGAGGATTGAAAAACCCCTGCTTCTTATCCAAAATAGGTCTAAATATGGAAATAGCACAATAATAATCAAGTCACCTTTGCTGATGTCTGAAACCATCCAATGAAGCCCTTCTCCTGGCAGAGTTTCTCCAGAAGAGAGGCATTCCTCCGGCACACTTTAGTCTCATCACATTTATTGGCCAATAGAACAGCAGGGATCGGACGGCCATTTTTCAGCATTACTTGACCATCGAGTTCATGTTTCCAGTTCAGAGCTCCATCCAGTGTTGATCCGTTTGTCACATCATACACAACAAGTGCACCACTGGATCTCTTGAAGTACACGCGGTTCAGTCCCCTTACACGCTCTTGACCTAAATAAACGAGAATAAACACTTTAATCAGAAAGCCCCAAATTAGCCTTTGAGATGCAAATTAGCCTTAGAGAAACAAAAACTGACCAGTTTACAATTATGCTATTTCAGATCTTACTGCATGACGTTTTTCTTCCCTGGAGATTTATAGTCAATAAATATAAATCTGAAAGTAAAACTTTCACTAAATGGTTGATAATTACCCTTTATGAGGACCAGTGGCACTAAAAAAACAACTATTTTTGTCTAACTTACATGTCTGTCCTATTTTGCTCCTGATGCTCTTTTTCTCATATACTGTACATCAACATTATTAGAGTTTTATGCACTGATCGTCTATTATGACCTATTAAAATAACAACCTAATAGTTCTATTATACTAATTTCAGGTTTAAATAAAGACTTACCTGCTATATCCCAAAGCTGTAATCTGACCCGTGTGTGACCGTCCCAATCTATCACCTTCATGGAAAAATCCACACCTATAGTCGTTTTCAGCTCCTCGTAGAATTGATTTTTCACATATCGTTTAACAAAGCTGGTTTTCCCAACTTTATGGTCTCCAATCACCAAAACTTTAAATAAATGTTCAGTGAATCCTAATTCTGAGTCTCCTGACATTTTCCTGGATAGCGATAACAAATCGCATCTGCGGTTAAATGACCTAGTTCAGCTTTATTCTGCCGGTTAAATCCCTGTCGCGTTTTCCAACCCTGCTACCAGGAACACAGACAGTTTCCAGCATTAAAAACCATAAAACAAAGATTTTACAAGGTAAATCAAATGTCAAAGTTCATCCATTTTGAGCGTTTCTTAAGTTTATATTAAATATGTTATTAATACAAAAACATAGAGGCAGGGCACTGGTTGGGTGAGGATTGAAAAACCCCTGTTTCTTATCCAAAATAGGTCTAAATATGGAAATAGCACAATAATAATCAAGTCACCTTTGCTGATGTCTGAAACCATCCAATGAAGCCCTTCTCCTGGCAGAGTTTCTCCAGAAGAGAGGCATTCCTCCGGCACACTTTAGTCTCATCACATTTATTGGCCAATAGAACAGCAGGGATCGGACGGCCATTTTTCAGCATTACTTGACCATCGAGTTCATGTTTCCAGTTCAGAGCTCCATCCAATGTTGATCCGTTTGTCACATCATACACAACAAGTGCACCACTGGATCTCTTGAAGTACACGCGGTTCAGTCCCCTTACACGCTCTTGACCTAAATAAACGAGAATAAACACTTTAATCAGAAAGCCCCAAATTAGCCTTTGAGATGCAAATTGGCCTTCGAGAAACAAAAACTGACCAGTTTACAATTATGCTATTTCAGATCTTACTGCATGACGTTTTTCTTCCCTGGAGATTTATAGTCAATAAATATAAATCTGAAAGTAAAACTTTCACTAAATGGTTGATAATTACCCTTTATGAGGACCAGTGGCACTAAAAAAACAACTATTTTTGTCTAACTTACATGTCTGTCCTATTTTGCTCCTGATGCTCTTTTTCTCATATACTGTACATCAACATTATTAGAGTTTTATGCACTGATCGTCTATTATGACCTATTAAAATAACAACCTAATAGTTCTATTATACTAATTTCAGGTTTAAATAAAGACTTACCTGCTATATCCCAAAGCTGTAATCTGACCCGTGTGTGACCGTCCCAATCTATCACCTTCATGGAAAAATCCACACCTATAGTCGTTTTCAGCTCCTCGTAGAATTGATTTTTCACATATCGTTTAACAAAGCTGGTTTTCCCAACTTTATGGTCTCCAATCACCAAAACTTTAAATAAATGTTCAGTGAATCCTAATTCTGAGTCTCCTGACATTTTCCTGGATAGCGATAACAAATCGCATCTGCGGTTAAATGACCTAGTTCAGCTTTATTCTGCCGGTTAAATCCCTGTCGCGTTTTCCAACCCTGCTACCAGGAACACAGACAGTTTCCAGCATTAAAAACCATAAAACAAAGATTTTACAAGGTAAATCAAATGTCAAAGTTCATCCATTTTGAGCGTTTCAGGTGCAAAGCGTGCATAAAGTGACAGTGAGACACACAGGTGTTGAAGACGGTTCTTTAACATGGTCATATGAAAGCAATAACTGGTCACATTTTGGGAAATTATTAACTAAACACCTACTGCAGCAACAACCCTGAGAGGTTATTTACAAAATATACAATATTTATCACGAACCTAATAAAACATGCCCACTAAAATGATAAGCTCAACAATTCCTGACAAATACAGCAGAACTAAATCTGTAGAAACGTAGTTTATCTTAAGATAGCTACATCTAGGCTCATACAGTATGCAATGATTGATTCTTTTAAAAAATATAGTAGCACAAATGTTTTCTTAAAGCTAAAGTATAGTTTCAAGACTATAGTATGCAATCTGACAACACATATTGCACTGCAACAGAAAAAAAAGAAAACTTACAGCATAAACTTTTCAGATAATATCTAAAACGTTACCTGAATACAATCCTCTATAATTGCTTAAAATTCCATAATAATTTAGTAACTGTCATGTCAGGACTTAAGTGGTCATAACCAGAGGTATGTCGTGGTACATTCTGGTGAAACTGCCGTCGGTGGCCCTGCTGAGCATTAGGGGATCTTGAATCTTCATTAACACATTGACTTTATAAAGCATTTGGAGCTGATATGAAAACATTTAACCAACAGTTAATAGACGTTAACAAATACAGACAATAATGTCTAATGGAAAAACAGCCATGTTATAATACAAACTCTAACTTTATGTTATGACCATTTAAATCCAGAAATATATGATAATATATTTACATCTTTTTTATTATCAAAAAAAATCACACATAAATAGAACAAAAATAATATATACACTTCCTATTGTACTTTAAACACAAACTATAGAAAAAGTACATAATAACAATACAGCATGAAGAAATACAGTTGGTTTTGACATTGGCACTTAAAAACTACTGATTTTTTGCATACATATGCTGCATGATTTGATGCTTCAACTAGACCTAAAACTGTTTGATCATCATGTTTATTTTAAAGTGTCCCTATTATGCCGTTTTTACGGTTCCTAATATTGTTTTGGGAGTCTCCTACAATAGGTTTACATGCATGCAAGGTCAAAAAACGCTTTTGTTTTCTCAAAATATGCATTTAATATCACCTCATTTTCCAGCGATTCTCAAATGATTCGTTCGAAGCAATTTAAAGATTCAGTCTCTCTAAACCCCTCCTTTCTGTGAGCCTGCTCTGCTTTGATTGGTCAGATGGCCTAGTCTGTTGTGATTGGTCTACCGCGTACATTTTGGAAACCATACGCCTATTTCAATAGTTCTGTATTTTGAACGCTCTATAGAAAAAATCCATTCATCCATCTTTCAACAGCAAGCGTTGTGTGAATCCCGCGTTGAACTCCCCGAGATTAGAGAAGCAGTCGAGTTGTTCGCGGCCGGCCAACGTAGAACATAGGCATGCATTATGCAAATGTATTACTCCGTGACGAGTAGCCGTCACGGAAGTGGGATTCGAATTACTAACGACTCGTTTCAGCTGTTCAGAGTCGATTCTTTATTTTGAGAGACAATAACTTTATTTATCATGCACTTTCAGCTTTACAACTTTGCAGATCGTTTACAATCACATACAGCTACACACTGCATGAAAGGCAATATTGGAAATGGCATAATAGGGGCACTTTAATATAGACTTTTAAAAATGCAGTTTATAAAAGTTGTGATTGTATAAAATACCTTAAACACATTAAATAGTTGCTGCACATTGTTTGAATTCCTAAATCTTCATTTTTTTGCTACAATGGTTGTTGTCTGCAAGTCCTTTAGATGATTTGATCTATTACAAAAAGCATGAAGAGCTCAGAATATACAGCATTACAATGACTGGTGTTGGTTTCATGTCAACTACTGCTTTACATACTAAAGCAAGTGATAGTGACACAAATCAAAGGGCACCTACACATTTGGTTCCTGCTTTTACTCACTCTCTCACTGACATTAAGGTCCAAAATTAACTTTTTTTGACAAACAAAAATTACAGGACATTAAACTGTATTTTGCTTTATTGTTCATTTCAGGGTTATTATTGTTAACATAAAGAAACATTAAATAAAAAAAATTAAATAAATAAACAAACGTTAGCCAAATGTAATGAACTATTAAAACAACAACTTAAACTTATTTTATTTCAGTTGGTTGCCAAGACAACATCTAATTTAGTTTAATTTAAAGTACTAAATTAACTAAAATTAAAATAACCAATAAAAGTTCGATAGACAAATTACTGAAAAAAACGAAAAAAAAAAACCGAATAAAAATGAAAACAAAACAAAAAAAAGCTGAAACTGTAGCTAAAATTAAAATTAATTAAAAATATTAATTAGAAACTATAATAGTATATCAGTTAACGTTTTCATTAACTGCAAATTGCATTAAAGGGGTCCTATTATGCTCTTTTACAAAGTCTTGATTTTGTGTTGGGGGTGTACTAGAACAGGCTCTCATACTAGGTTGTTCGAAAAACATTATTTTTCACATATTTTACATTATTACAACACCTCTCTCCCCAGTCTGGCATGAACGGCTCGAATAGTTCCTGTATCAAATGAAGGCCTGCCTCCTGAAATACTAAATGTGCTGTGATTGGTTAGCTGGGCCAGCGTGTGCTGTGATTGGTTAGCTGGGCCAGCGTGTGCTGTGATTGGTTAGCTGGGCCAGCGTGTGCTGTGATTGGTTAGCTGGGCCAGTGTGTGCTGTGATTGGCAGCACTCGGCGCCTGGTCGGGAAATGTCATGCCCGTTACCATAGCCGCCTGCGAGCTTCAGTGTAAATATTGCGTCAAAATCAAATCAATTTGAGCGCGATTTAAACCCGGATGACTGTAATCACTCTAAGTTCTCATGCCTTGGGAAAGCTAGCGTGTCTCCAACATAGTGATAACACTAGTTGCCTTCTCTAGTGCAGCTCAACCAGGTCTCGTCCCATTCGTCGATATTTGTGATATCACAAATCCCGGAAAATATGCGTTGTAATCCAAATGAGTAGTTTGTTGTAGTTTTTGAAAAGTGATTTCTGTTAAATAAAATATCACCTTCTGAAGTGGACTTTGAGCTTTGTAACTTTACAGATCTTTTTTTATGCTCAAACAGCAACATTACAGACTAACTAAAGGCTTGTTCACACCGGGACGAATTAGGACCCCTTTAAAACTAAAGGCTTGTTCACACCGGGACGAATATCGCACGCGATTATCGCCGACGTTTAACGCCTCGTGACTAAACAAAGTGCGCCAATGTGAGTGTGCACACCGACGCGCAAAACGCAAGGAGTAAAAGCATAATTTTTTTTAAAAAATGCCTCGGGCTCGTTTTTTTGGTTTGACGTGCCGCGTTAAAAACTGGCCGACCAATGAGGCGCTTTTGTTCACGTGTCTGGAGCTGTTGAAGTTACAGTAAAACATGACTTGGTGGCGCTCAAGCACAAAACTTGTGCTTGAAAAGTCTTGCCGAGCACACACTGATACCTAACGACGAAGAGGAAGTAAGTAGACCAAGAAGATGCATCGAGGCAAGATGAATGTAGAGCTGCTGGTCTCATTGGTGTCTGAACACAAAGGGCTTTATGACAAACCCGACAGCGACTACAAAAATCTCAATAAGAGGGAGTTGTTATGGAGAGGAATTGCAGATCAAATAGGATTCGATGTGTACCGGGGGTATTTCTGTTTTTCATTAAGCGCGCGATAATTGTCCCGGTGTGTACGAGGCTTAAAGTTGGACAAAGTGAAAAAGCATAATAGGACCCCTTTAAACAGTGTTTTGTTTTATTGTTCATTTGTGGGTTATTGTTAACTAAAAGTAAAACCATAAAAAAAAATGTTTAAATAACCAAAATAGAAATGAATATACTGTAATCTATACAGGGTATATTAAAAAACTAATAAAAATTATAAAAACACAACAAAATTACTAAAACTTGAACTAAAATTAAAATGACAACACAATATAAAAACGAATAATTTTTTTAATAATAAGTATAATAGCAAAATAACACTGGCCCATTTAAAATAAGTAGATGGTACACAAACTTCTCCATGTCTGTGTGAAACTGTGAAAGATGTACTGGCAAAACTTTGTGTGCATTTCGCACTTGGCAAGTCTTAATTTTGGACCCTGCTGAACATACATTCACTTCCATACTCTCTCTTTAAATCAACCATATATAATATTAAAGCTCTCCAGTGCAGGCGACTTGCAGTCACATTATTGCACAAACTAGTACAGTAGCTATTATTTCACAAAGCTGGAGCTGACATGATCTCCTAAAATTAATTTCAAAGGGTCGAGGAGCTTTGCTTATAGTCTCTGAGAATGACGGATGCATACGTCACGCTCTGCGGTGTGCATAAGATGGACTCGGACATGGGGGAGTTAGGAAAGGGGCTGCCCGAGCCGAGTGAATCCCTAAACGGAGAAGGTGGCATGAGGGCCACAGAGTCCTCCATTGCCATTTTAATCTGCTCCAACTCCTCCTCGTCGTGGATCTGCGCATTGCCATACATGTAGCCGTGAAGAAGCCCGAACTGTTCGTTTTCAACCTCCTCCAAAGGGGAGGCGGGTTGGTCCGGGTATGCACCCAGTTGCATGGGCAAAATCAGATGCGGGTGCAATATTTGGGGCTGAAGGGGCAAGATCACCCCGTCACCCGGCTCGGGCAGGCTTATGATCTCATCCAAATTGGGCATGTTTGAATTAAACTTAAGCACCTCTTGATCTGCAATACAATGTTGAGGGAGAACACTGTTTTTTTGTGG